TCATATAACTACCATAGGTATTACCTTTAATGACTACAAAGTATTCCATGGGGTTAACGCTACCAGAACCATTATTGCTTAGTTAGGTTATTTTCCGATTCTGCTGTTATAAATGGTAATACAGTGAATGTGTTCCTGCATGTTATTTTTTCCTTCTTTGAATTATTTATTTAGAATAAATTCCCAGGGATAGAATTAAGAGATCAAAGTGTATGCGCGTTTTAATGGCTCTTGACACATTGCCAAGTTGCCATATTTGTATTTTACACAGTTCCTTGATGGCATGCTGATAAAATGTTTAACAGCCTCTCCTCAAAAAAAAAAAGTATGGGGAGCCTGATTTATGGTGTTCGCCAATTTTCATGGTGTAAATATTCCTACCATGGCCAGTTTCAAGCTACGAATTTGAATGCAGACTTGGAAAGAGATCCTCAGTGGCACACTATTATTGAAATAAGTTCAAGGACATAAATAATAGTAAAATGTAGTAAATAAAAAGGAAGTAATGAGTTTTGAGTATTTATTGCCTTTATTTTTAACATAACTTGTTTAACTGTGAGTTATAGAATTTAATTTTTCCTGGTGTCTGTGTTCAACAACTGGCTTGCAAAATTTCTGGAAATATTACAGGCAGCTCTTGCAAACAAATGCAGGCAGGCTCCCGCACACAGCTACAAATATATCACTTGATATTTTGTAAGAGCACGGCTTTTTCTTTTCATTGAAGCCATTGAAAATTCACCCTATTCCCATCTGTTGTCACAAACAATAACCATGCTTTTAGGTTAGCAAGTTATGCAAATATATGATGAATAAAGCATAATGCAAAAAAAAAAAAAAATAGAGCAGGAGGTCTATCTGAGTCAATTAATTCCACCCACCCTCCCCCAATTGGGACAATACTCTCTTTGTGGACTCATCTACTAGTGTTTTTTCACGGGGTCACCTATAGCAACTACTCAATTATTTATTAACTCGAACAATGACTGAGTAGATGACTATACTCAGTTCTCATGGCAAATGTGATGAGAACCATACTGCATGTTACTTAACCACTCTCTTCCTTGGTTTTCTTTTCTACGAAATGGGGAAGAGGTCATTGCTGACTACAGTTTTACAAGAAACTAAATGTAGAGATAAGAAGACTCCAATTTATACTCTAAGAAGCAATTGAGCGTTCTGTAATACTTTGAAATTTTCTTCCAAACGTAATTCATTAGTGTTGTCTTACTGGAAAAGAGAAATGGAAGAATGATTTGGCACTTTCTCCCTTGAAAGCAAATTCCTTCCTTTGGGCTTTCCCTGAGTAATAATGAACAGCCTCCATGTGTATTTAACACTATAGAATTTTGAAAGTGGCACCCTACCACTTGAGCGTTAAAAATGTAAATATGGTTGATGAAAACTCTAAACGTGCTCACACCTTTAACTCCGTCAACCCATCCCCAGGAATTCTCCTAAGAAATAAATTCAAAACAACAGAAATTACTTGTGTCAAGATTAATCACAACAGTGGGAGGATCATTTTGCACCATTTCAGCACTTACGTAACTTACCATCTTGGTGCCTGGTGCCCTAGTAGAAGAGTTCTGGATTAATGACTCTCAGATGCTCACCTATAGAGCAACTGCCTCCAGGCCACCTGGGGAAAAGGGTTTGTATTGATTATCACACAGATTCCTGGACTAAATCTCAGGGCTTCTATGTGATACCTGGGAAGTGCTAGTTTTTTAAAAACTCCCCAAGTGGTTTTGATGTCCAGCCAGCTTTAGGAACTATAATTCCAGGCCAGAACCAAACAAATCACATTATCTCTGAACAACTGTCCACATCCAGGGAGCAGTACATCTTCTTAAACAAAATACCAAGAGGTTGCTTGGGACTTCAAGCAGCTGTTTGAGTCAAATGATTTAAAAGCCACGTAGGAGGAGCCTTTGTTTCTGGCACGAACCTGCCTCTATTCACCCTTTCCATCTCAGATGCCCTCCTTTGCACTCCCCATCCCAGCACCCACCACTGTCATGCTCCCCTTTCGCACCCTATCTTGACTTGGGCCCACCCCTTTGCATACACAAAACCCCAAATCTTCCTCCCTTTTGTTATTAGTGGGGCTCTAGAAGGGAAACAATATTACTATTTGACCAAGGTAATCTGCACATATAATTGAGAAATCCCTTGCATAATGAACATATTGGCCATATTTGCATTTTTTAAAAGGGGGCTTACTAACCTCCCCCCCCCCCCAAAAAAAAACTCTCTAGTTTGGAGAGTGGAACGAGCAAGCAAGACGTTTTTCAATCTTAGCTTTCCCCCAGACCCAAGCATCTAGAATCCAGATAAGTACTTTGGGTACTCCTTGTCAAAATGGTCACAACTTTTGAATAGAAATGGTTTTTGGCTATGTCTTGCTAGCACTAAAATTAGAATACAATAAAATTAAAAATAATTTAATTTAAGCTGGCCAAGGAAGGAAAGTCACTCTCTGCCTCTAATGCCAAACACCTCTAAAATTCCACCCAAAAGCATTCAGGAAGCAACATCAGCCACAGATGCCCACAAATAACACAGCAGTCACTCAGATAGTTGTCCTATAAGTCTGACAATCAGATATGGAACGGCTTAAAAGATCAGTTTCTGGGGCGCCTGGGTGGCTCAGTCAGTTGAGCATCCGACCTAGGCTCAGGTTCATGATCTCACGGTCTGCGGGTTCAAGCCCCGCATCAGGCTCTGTGCTGACAGCTCAGAGCCTGGAGCCTGCTTCGGATTCTGTGTCTCCCTCTCTCTCTGCCCCTCCCCAGTGCTCACACTCTGTCTCTCTGTGTCTCTCAAAAATAAATGAAAACATCAAAAATTTTTTTTTAAAAAATCAGTTTCAAATCTTGTTTTCCTTTTTTCATATATATTATTGCTATAAAACAGACTACCCCATGCCTATTCCATACTTGGTGCTCAAAAGATATTAATTTCCAGCCTTCACCCATCAGCCCCATTTTCCTTTGAAAGGAGCACCGGCATTAAAAGAGTTACTTTACAGTTATCTCGTTCCCAGCCAGACACCATATCATCTTCACTCTCGTGTCCCCAGCCAAGTCTTAGTAACAATCATAATAGCTACATTTCTTCAGAGTTTATTTTATGCCAGGCACTAAGCTAAATGCTGCACACATTTATATTTCATTTTTATCCTTACAACAACTCTGACATAGGTATTTTCAGTTATTGGGCTACTTTACAGATTTTTGTTTTTAATCTGAGGATTGAAGAAGTAAAGTAATGTGTCCTAGGTTCCCACAGCTCAGAAGCAATAGCACCAGGTTCAGCACAAGATAATCTGGCTCCAAAAGTCTGGATTCTTATTCACCATACTGTAGTTTTGTTATTATATGGATGCAAATATTTCACACTTCAGAAGAAAAAAAAAGTGCTCCAAATCATTAGGAAAAAAACACCAGCAGATCCATAGCATCTCAGTCAGACATGTGAAGGAAGTAACACATATTTCATGGAGTTTTTGGGTTGGCTTTTGAAGACAACAGGCTTGCTTGGTCAACCAAATCATTCTCCTAAGAGGAAGGCCACTTTAATACTTGATGATTGACCTGTAGTAACCAGAAATGGAGGTCTTACAGGATCCCTGAGCCACACAAACCTTTCCTAGCATAAATGGTATGGTAAAGGAAGACAGTAAAGGGAAGGCAAGTAGAAGATAAAAAGTAGTCCCAAAATGAAAAGACTCAGGGATCTCTGGGCTCCCACTCACCTGGAATTCTGTGAGTGCTATGAAAGCTCAGAAAAGGAGCCTAATGGCATAAGAAGACTAGAAAACTATTGAATGGAGTCAGTTCTCTTCAGCAGCCTCTCAAGGTCCTCTATAACTCGTCTACACCTGAATTTTCCAAGCTTATTTCCTGCCAATATGTAAAACAAATTTTCCTCTTTTGAGGGCCAGTCTCCTCAACTGGACTGCTCATCTCGTCAGTCTCACCTCTGTGCCTTTGCCCACACAATCCTCCCATGTGAATTAACCTCCACATTCTCCATCTACTCAAATCTCATGTTTTTCCAAAGCCATGTCTTCCAGACCATTCTTGCTTACCCTCAAACCCCCTTTCTTGGAACTCTTATAACTTACCACCCATGTAACCCCAGTCATCACTCAATTCCCCTCTGAATTTTACCTCTTCCTGAATTTTACCTCTTGCCATGACTACTAGATTATATGTTCCTTTGGATAGAGACTTCCTTATATTTTTCTTATATCCTCCACAGCACCAGCTCGGAACCAATAAATGATTATTGACTAGTTGTTGCTTGCTTGAATATTTCAATGGCAACTTTCATTTAGTGAAGTACCTTAAACTAGTGATTTCTCTACCTTCATTTAGCTATAACCCAGGCTATTGATGGTACCTCATAGCATGTCCCCAAATCAAACCACCTCAAAAACTAAATTTAATTTAATTCAATTTAATTTAAAAATAAATACTTATGCTTCATATACCACTTGTAGGAAGAGGACTCAAGCATTGGCAATAGGTGAAACAGACAAGCTAGAAATTCCAGCTCCAAATCCACATCATCTGGATTTGGGTTGGTTTCTTTTTTGATTCAGAACATTTTAAAGCTCTTATTTATACAACTGAGAGGATCTTTAAGTTTACTTATCAAACATAGGGTGATATTTCAACTACCCAAATATTTGAACTCAGTCATAGTCAATAACAAACATATGAATTCTCTAAGAGAATATCTGAATAACCAAAAACCAACTATTATAACTTGTAAAGTTTCAAAAATGATATGCATCTTTTTAGGATGGTGCGTGGCGGGGCGGGGGGATTGGATACCAGGGCAAGTCCCCGTTCCCCCATAATATGGTACCATACTTTACAACTATAGAAAAAGATAAATTACTGTGTTTAGCCTAGAGTAAAGCTAAATACATTGGAGAGATTTCTTTTGACACTGAGGAACTATTTTTAAAGAAGCAAAAGTCTTACCTGTTGTAGAATGCCAAAGAAATTTCTTGACACCAAAATGACTGACTCCGGAAGTTAATTTGTTCAGTGCAGGTAAGTAAAAGCAAAAGCTTCCCAAGCGCTGTTATAAATTCCTCTGGGATCAACTTTTCCTTCCTCCCCAAGGATATAGCTGATTCACACTGGAAGAACCAAAACTATAAGAGTTGAGCTGGTAGAGAATCCAACCCAAGATGGTTGGGTTTAGTGTGCGTGGTGACTGAGGTGGCAGGAACAATCCGAATGTGACAATAGAGATTAGCAAGTTCCTGTGCATAAGTCAATTTCCTGTAGCTGGCTCCTCTGAAGAGGGGATTTCATTTGTGTGGGTTTATGAGCGTGTGTGTGTGTGTGTACGCGTGCGCGCGTGCGCGCACATGCATTTTTCTCCATGACAATATGAAAACTTTCCCAGAATAAGAGGCTTTTCCATTTCCCACCAACACAACACCTACGTAAAACTGAGGAAAGGAAGAGTGAAAAACCAAGATGATTCCTTAAGGAAATGAAATAAAGCAGAAGAAAGGAGAAAAAAAATGTCCACTCCTCTAACCGGTCTTAGTTAATTTAAGCTTAGGAAAAAAGTACCTTAGAACATAAACGTCAACTTGGTGAACATACTAACTGTGGAGGGAAAACAGTAGGTGGATGGTTTGCTTTGATTTATTAATAACTATCAAATAATAATTTAGAAAGAACTGACTCAGCCATATCGAAAGCTCAAGCAGCCCCACAATGAATTTATCCTTTTTTGGACCAGCACCTGTGTTATGAGGTAGGTGACTGAGTTGTTTTCAGACTCCTCACAGTTTCATTATCTGCCTCCAAACACAAATTTACTTGTTTTGTCCTTCTATGCAATCCAGGTGTAGAGACCATCTGCATTTAGATTATGGTGAAGTTGCCTAGACCAACAAATTTAACTTTCATGATGTGCTCACGATCCCCCATGCCTCAAATCTCTGGATAGTCATAAATGCTACTGCCCAGGGTGAAATCTTGGTCAGAATATCTACACGCCATAAAGATAAAGTCAACTCCATTCAAGTCAACAAATAGCTATGGAGCCCCGCTATGTGTAAGATTCAGTGCCGGGTGCTGGAGTAGGGTGGGAACACAAAGATGAACAAGTTGGAATCTCTCACAATGGTCAAAATCTCTCTCACAATGGTCAAAATCAATTAAAGGAGGACACAGACATAAAAGAGATGCTCCAAATGAGGATTTATTTGTAGATCTCACTTGAAAAAATCCTGGCACACAGGGGTCAGGGAAGAGGAAAGTGTGTGGAACCATTTTGGCAGTAAAATAGCCACTGAGCATCGATATGGATTCTCTCATAATATTCCAGGGAGCCTCACTGGCTTCCAGGAGGCCCCACAGAACAGTAGTATTATTTGAGGGTCATCCTCATCATTGTAGACTCAGAATCCTGTTATGCACCTGACACTGTACAAAGACCAAGAAGAAAAGCACAAAGACCAAGACAGATATATTTTCTGTCCTCACAGCACCTATGTCTTAATTGAGGGGTGGAGGATGAGGGACAAAAACATTCAAATATATGCAACCGTTACAAATTGTAGTGATTATTACAAAGGAATCAGGGAAGAAGGTGAGCTGGAGAGCGTGACAATGTCTGTGTCCTAGAGGTGGCCAAGGAGGGCCTCTGTAAGAAGCTAACATTTAAGCTGAGACCTAGAGCCATGATTCTCCGTCCTGGCTAAAAATTAGAATCATCTGAGAAGCTTTTAAAAAATACCAGTACCTAGGCTCCACCCCTGGAGATTTCAGTTTAATTTGTCTCATTTGGAGCCTGGGTATTAATAAGACACACACACACACACACACACACACACACACACACACACACACCCTCAATCATTCTAATGTGCCGCTACTGCTCTAATGATGAGAAAGAGGGGTGTGGAGAGAAAAGGAGGAAGGACATTCCGAGCAGAGATAATTTATATGTGCAAAGTCCCTGATGAAGGAAAGAGTTTGCTGTGTTCAAGGGAGTGGAAGAGGATTAATATGTCTAGTGTTCAGCAGTGGCAGGAATAAACAGTGCAAGACGGGCATTCTCAGAGAGGGACACACCATCACTAAGCCCATAAGAGACCCTTACATGAACGCAAGTGTCCATTTATTAATGTGCACTAAGAACTCAATCTGCCGGGTGAGATCCTTGAGCTCTCTGATGAGTATATTATCTCCTTCTAGAAAATTCTCCGTGGAAAGCCAGATCACCGCCATGATATTATTAGATAAGTAGAACATATAACTTGTGGATACCTTAGTTATTTACCTCTGGTTTTGTTCATCGAAAGATTTAGGGCAGCTTGTAAGGATACATATACCTTAGCAAGATAAAACCAATTGAAAATAAGAAATGAAAAGATGAGGCCAAGAGAAATGAAGACAAAGATTCTAAAACCAGAGGTGAGGTTGTTACAGAAAAGATATGCCATGTGGTGCTAAGCTTTTAAGCAACCATATGAAATAACAAATTCTTCCACATAAAAAAATTGAGTGCCCCTCAATAAAAATGACTATTTCTGAGACTAAAGAGAAACGCAGCCCCTGAATTCTCATAGAGAGGACATAATGGCTGAAATGAAACACCGTCTTTACGCTAAACACAGCCAGTGACAAGTTTTGCAAGGTGGTTCCTTACATTGCTTCTCAGTGCAGGCTGATTTCATCTCCTGAAACACTTGACTAAAAGCAATCCCAGGGTGCAAGTAGGGGAGGGTGTGCCGGAAAGGGGTGGTTAATACAGGGTGCGCTATCCCCGGGCACTGCTATGAGGTGCCAAATTAGTGCAGAGATGAAGATCAATTTCAGATTTCCTTCAGAAAATTGGGGATAGAAGAGTTTTCTCATCCAAGCTTCTAAAAGAATCGGGGCAGCAGTGACTTCAAAATTGGTCATACTTGCAGCAAGAGACCTAGGGGTTTTCTGTGTCCCCATTTCCTTTGAGAAAGTGGAGGAGTCGGGCAGGGACAGTGGCCTGCATGGACAACCCCCCTCCACCTGCAGGAGAAGGTGAGGCAAGACTCTGCCCTTTGAGACACAAAGCAAGAGGTGCCATAAGCATGAGGCCTCAGGCCTTGTGCATTTTTCCACAAAGGGGCACGCATACTCCCAGGGTCAGGCCACGTGGGGTGTGTCTGAGGGTCCAAGCACTCCCGTCGCATCCTGGATGGTGCTGGGAAGGGCATTGCTGGGTCTGGCTGCAAGACTGCCCTTTCCCGCTTGGCTCCCTGGCTGATCCCTCTTCTTCTGATGGACTGGCTCACTCTGTGTAATTTGTCGTTTCCGGTGTTCTCATATAGGCGTTGTGCTTCCTCCTGTTCTTGACTTGAGAAACAGTTTCTCCTAATGTCTCTCCCACACCTCTAATCTTCACGTAGAGTTTAATCCCAGACGGTATTTTCATGGTAAGGGTGGGAGGGGGTTGGGGAGAGCTATCTAACTTTCTTCCTTTCCTGGAAATCTCTCTTTTTGGTTCTGTCCCAATCTCTCTTTTTCTCTCTTTCTCCCCTCATTCTGTTAATAGACAGGGATACTGTTGGGGGTGGAAGCAAATGACTTAAACTACACATATATACCACACATCCACAGACACACACACATCCAAACCTCTCAGGGCGTCAGTTCTGATGCCTTGGGCCCAAGGTGGGGGAAATCCTGGGGAATTCAGCTATGGGTATGGGCCTCCTAGCAGGGAACAGACCCTATTATAAGCCATATTCCAGGAACCCACCTCCCATGAGCTCCCGTACCACCCATGTTGACATTGCCAGAGCCCTCACCAACAGTCTTATAAAGTCTAGTACAGAGGCCCTTGAGCCCTATGGCCTGGCCTTGCGCACTGGTGTATCTTAGACACTGAAAAGTCATGCGAGAACCATTTGCTGAACGATAGACTGATTCTCTCATCTAATCCTCACGATGACTCTATGTGGTAAACATTTTAAAATATGTTTTACAGACAAGGAGACCTCAGCTGGCTAAATGAAACCCTATGGCCTATGAAAAGGTGATGAAAGTTTTACCCCATCCAGCTGTCCTGGCTCTTTACACCACCGTGTCCCAATAGAGAGAGCTGGGCCGCTGAGGGGAGGGAGATTCAGCCAGAGCCCCCAGGCCACAGGTCCATTTTTCCCCGCTTGGGTACCCCTCCTCTGAGATTCCCAGGCAAACACAATCCGCTTAAGGTCAAGACTTGCTTTCTCAAAACACCTTCATTTGAAATGCCCTCTGATATGGCAGAAGAACAGTTTATTTTCTCTTTAACTGTCTCCTAAGAACAAGGGCCTCTTTTATTGAGGATTTTTAAATAATAAGACAAATGTCTGTATACCCTGAACTCAGGCATAAGTGGTATTCTTGCCCATTGCAAACACGTTTTGCCATTTATTCCCAAGAGGACTCTTAATGACAATGGTAATCGTAATGTATAGTAAAATCTTGGAGACCTTGCGATATCAATCATTTACTAAATTATTTCTGCCCTTGGTTAGTAAGATGCCTCTCCTTCTTCTTACTATTAGCTTATTAACTGAAATGATTTAGATTTAGTGGGTAGCTTTTAATGTTTACACAGACCCTCATCTGTGATATGCCACCTAATAAGATAAAATATTTCAGTGGGTTCTGAAGATGGATATAGGTACTAAAACCTTGTCTGAATGCTTTGAAACCCAGGGCATTGGTCATACTGTAATTATTTTTACCCAGCTCCCCACTGCATGATAACTGTATTAAACCAAAACACGTATCCTTCTGATTGAGAGATTTCATGATGAGGATTGCAAAATGTTAGCCCTTCATAAAATAAAGAGGTTAATTCTGATGTATAATACATCAGTGTAAAATACATTCATAGAAAATACCCTTTAAAATTCTACATATTAAAATATCTTAGGAACGCCACAGGCTAGAAATCACATGAACAATTTCTTCCTTGCACATTTTAACTCGTTATAAACAACAGCCACCTTAACCAGATAAGAATATCGTTTCAAACATCTTCTAGCTTCTCTCTTATTGCCATAACCATAAAGACTATCATTTCCCCCGCCATTCTTCCCATCATCTATCTTCTCTTTAACTGTTTTAATGCAACATGCTGCTTTTTGTGTTAGTGAATATTAGGTTCTCCGGATTCTCAACTGCCATTTTTATCCTGGTCTGTTTGCCCTGTGTAACTGTGTTTATCTAG